CCCGGCGCGGCCTGCGCCCGCGGCGCTGCCGGCATGGCCGAGCCGGGCGCACCCGCCGCCGCCGTCCCTCCTCCTTCCCTTTGCGGCGGCGGCTCGTGGCCGTGTGGGAGGAGGGCAGCGGGGATGGACTTGAGCTCGCGGGCTCGCTGCTAGGGCGGCAGCGCCGCGCACGGAGGCAGCGCTATCTCCGCCGCTCTCCTTCCCTCTCTCCTCTCCTTTTTTCCTCCCCCCCTCCTCCTTTTTTTTTTTTTTTTTTTTCGTCGCCCGCACCGGGCGCTGCTCGCCCGCAACCCCCCCCGCCTCTGCCCTTTCCTCCCTGCGCGCCTCCCGCCGCGGCAGATGCGCCGGGGCCCGCCGCGCAGCTGGGACTATGGTGAAATTTCCAGCGCTCACCAACTACTGGCCCCTCATCCGCTTCCTCGTGCCCCTGGGCATCACCAACATCGCCATCGACTTCGGCGAGCAGGTAACGGCCGCGCCGAGGGGCTCCCTCCCCGCAGCCGCCCGCGCCGGCGCTGCTGCGTGTGCCGGCTGCGGCGGCCGCGGCTCCGCTCTTGCCCTTTTTTCTTTTTATTTTCCTGTATATCAGGGTTATATAATATGAAATTACATAATGTGTCTTGCTTTTTTTTTTTTTTTTTTAATTATTTTTTTGGTTCTTTTCTCCCCTTCCCCGTGCCCGCTATGGGTATGTTTTTATTTCTCCCAGGTGCAAATCACGGCGCGGTGTTGCTGTTGTTATTGTTGTTATTTACCCTGCCCGGCTGCGCCAGGGCGAGCGGCCGCGCTGCAGCGCCCGGCTCAGGCCCCGGCGGCGCGCGGTGCTGGAAGCGGTGCCGGGGAGCGACCCGCTGCCGCCGGGGCCGGCTCGGAGCCGCGGCCGGGGGCACCGCGGACCCTCCGCAGGCGCTGGGGCCGAGACGGGGCAGGTGGCAGCGAGCGGAGCTGCTGCTGCCGCCCCCGCCACGGCTGCCGCCCCTCCTTGTGCAGCCCGCGGGCATCCCCTGCAGCCGCGCTCGCTGCCCTCGCCCATCCAAGGCTCCACCGCAGCCCTTCTTCTCCTGCCTAATCCCGGCTTGCGGCGCTGGCCCTAAAAGTACCCCCGGGCTCGCGGTGCGCTCCTCTCGCCCCGAGCATTTCACCCGGGATGCTTATCTGTCACCGTGCTGGGATGTGGAGAGCGCCCCGGCCTCTCCGCTCAGCGTCCCTGTGAGCCTTGCATGGAAATATTTCATGAGGGCAGGACTCGCTGATGCCTGTGCACGAGTGCAGGGCTGGACGGGCACACTAAGCAGCCCATGTCACTTTTAGCCTTGCCTGGAGCTGCTCGGTTTTGCCAGGCTGCTGTTTCCTAAGCGGAGCGTGCACTTGCTCCTTGGGCAAATGGGAAATTAGTGGGTGATTCCACCTGTAGGTTAAGAACAAAAGCAAAGGAAAATGTTACAATAAGGAGAAATAGTTAACACTAGTGATATATTTGTCATAGTTGTTGCAATCTCATGGTCCTGTAAATTTAGATAAGCTATGATGTTTAAAAAGGTGCAATTGCATTCTTGTCTAGTGACCACATACTTTCCTACCACGTAAATCTTCTATAAACTCCCCTCAAGAAAGAGAGAAGAGAAGCAGATAGAAAAGTAGCTTAAATATCAATATCCAGTGTGCGACAGACATTAAAACGAAAGCAGCTCCTACAGAAAGCTCAGTGTGACAGGTGCACCTATGCAATTTGCCTCAGACAAGGTCAGCTTGATTCAAAGTCCATGCCCATGCAGTAAAAAGTTCCTACTGGCTTCAGTACTCTTTGGATCAGACTTCAAAAATTAGCAAGCAAATTGTTCAGTATCCCTCAAAGTGCTGTAGTTTGGCAAATGAGGAGCTCTTCCGTCCACAAAGAAATTGCAGTTTTATAAAAGAGGGCCCTTCTGTCTGGCCACACACCCATGTCACTGTGGGGATGTTAGTTTACAATGTTAATACTCATAAGCACATATCCATACAACTCTCACAGCATTGTGGAGACAGTGCCTTGCAAAAGGGAATTTAAATGATAGCCACCTCATAGGCTGTGATCATCCCTTTAGGTTCTTGGGGTTATTCCCTGTTCGGCAGGTTTGGGAGGTACTTAATTAAAAACAGGAAAATCTAGGGAGCAGAAAACCTTGGATCGGAAGTGGGAGCTGGAACCAGTCTAGCGGGAGACTTACCCAGATGGCAGCTGGGGAAACTGAGGCAGGGTCAAAGTGACCAACCAGTCTGCAGAGACCCTGTTGCATTCACAAGGACAGTAATTTTATTTTCCTGTATGCAATATGTGTAGTCATTATATTTGTAGGACGTTACCACAAGGCTTGTGTTGCCAAAAACACGTTGATCTCCTGAGCCAGTCACCTTTTTGCTCCCCCAAATTGCCATCATTTTAATAACAGTGCTGAATGGAGGCAACGTAAAAGAGTGCCTGTGGCAACCGATAGCTCTGAGAGGCTTCAGTACCTCCTCTGTGAATGTATGCTTTAGATAAGAAAGATTTCTAAGAACGTTAAATTTACATGAAATGAAGTTACCGCCTCAGAACAAAACTGTGAAAGAGAAGAAAAACTACAGGTCAACTGTAGAGATCATTGCATGTAACTGTGGGACAATCAGCCTTGCCTGAACAGGGAAGTCTTCTTTCTAAGGATTTTTTTTTCTAGCCTTTTTTATGAATATTGTAAGTCATGAATTTTGATATGACTTACACATTGATACACCTTATTCATACAGTGCTTACCTCAAGCAGGAAGAGTATTTGTTAGCAAAGTGTTCAAATCAGAGCCTTTTTAATGAAACCTAAGACACTAGCCTGAGATTGATAAGCAAGAAGGCAGCATTATCTCAAATATTCTTAGTTTGGGAGGCTTCTCTAGGTTTTCAATGCTTTTACTCAATGTCTAACATGAAATTTTCAGTGAATATTTGTAGAAGATACTTTATGGCAATATTGTCCTGTACGTTTCTATGTTTCCTTTGTCAATCCTATTGAGTTGGTGGGAGGTGAGACATGCGGTGCTCACCAAAGCTGACACGCTCGTCTCCTGCAGCCAGCTCCAGAACTGGGATGGTCAATGGAGAGTCAGGCTTGGCCTTTGGGCCCTAATCCAATAACCCTTTAGGCCAAAGCTGTATTACAGAGGTACTCCAATCTAGGCAGCCCAGCTCATTTGTTCAGCTCATAAAATCTTCTTGGACCAATATCTGAATTATGGTTCTACTAAAAACAAGTAGACCAGGTAAATTAATAGATTACAGAAACAAAGCATTTCTAAGCTATTTTTGTTATTTCCTTTTACTGCACACTTCTTATGGAATTTATTTACAATACTATGTAGTTTTATGAAGTTTTCTTCCTAGAGTAAGGCCTCCAGGAAAATAGAACCAAATATTTTGACTCATCCTTCCTTCTGTGCCCAATAGGTATGTGTTCATGTGCACGTACATACACATGTATTTATTTATTTCACCCTCTCTATACCCATGCAAACCCCACGGCATCTTCAATAACACCACCCGCACCCACACTTTTGAATAGCCATCGCCAAATTCAGCACTAGGTGGCCTGCAATTCCTTAATTATTAACTGGAGCAGGATGTTTTTTTGTTGGTGGTGGGTTTTTTGTTTTGTTTTGTTTGCCCTGTTTAGCAGGAAATGGAGCCAGGTCATGAATTATTAGTTTGAATTGGTGTCACTAGCCATTGGTTAGGCAATTTTATTTGCCAGCAAAACCATTGCATCTGCAGACATAATTTTGATCAGCAGCACGTAGCTCCTTGGAAACTAAAACTAAGCAAACGGAGTCCTACTGCTGCTGTCTCCTGAAATCACTAGGGTGCCCTGGTCCTGCAGAGAAATTGCCATGGATTGCACACGAGTTAGTAGCTGGGACTAAACAGACAAGCGATAAAGGAAGTGCTAACTGTTTTTTATTGGATTTCTTTTTTGTAGTCATTGCTTGAAAAATAAACAGATTTTTTTTTTCTTGTGTTTGCATAGGCTTCTTTTTTATTATTAAGAAAAAAGAGTGTTGCCAGAAAAAGCAGAACAAGTCATGAATAATGTATCAAAAAGAATTAGGGAGCTTATCTTCTGTCCGTGGCATTTGCAAGCCTAGTAGGAGGTTAAACATTTTGATTAATGCTTTATGAAGACCATTTCGGGGGTAGGTGTTATTGCCTGGAAGTTCACACAAAGCAATGGGAGAGCTCATATTCCCAACTGTTCCTATGGGATTTAGGCCAAGTTACATAAACTTTTCATGTCACAGTTCACCTGTCTTTGAAGTGTGCATAAACGCCTACCTATGTGTCACAAGGATGTAATGAAAATTAGTGTTACAGAAATGCTCAGAGATGAAAGGCGCTATATGAGTACAAAGTATTCCTGGCATTGCTATTCTGAGAGGTCAGTGACTCATTTAAATCAGATAGGACTTTAGTACCATATAAACAAGAGAGCTAATGAGATCTTACAATTGGTATAGACTACGACTGTATGTGATTGCCACCACCATATTACTAGAATTGCACTAGTATGGTAATTATAAATTAAATGTAGATCAAATTTTGCTGAAGACGCAAACATCTACAAAGTTGACTATCACCAGATTTTATTTTCCCACGAGAGGTAACATTTTAAAGGAATTATTTTCTTCCGCAGGATTTGCCAGTCAGATATGGTCAGGGCAGCTGCTAAGGAAGAAAAGTGAAATGCACTTAATTTCACTGTCCAGAGTGAGAAAAACCAAGGGCCAGCTTATCTGAAGGTGCCACATAGTGTGGAGAAACGAAGCACACAGAACCAGAGGGGTCGCTTCCAAGATTTGTACCTCAGCACTGACTCCAGAGATTTTCTTCTCCTAAGCAACACACCTTTACATCCTCTTACCTCCAGCCTCCTCAGCCCTACAGCATTAGCTCCAAGGTTGTCGTCTGCTGGGCACTAGCAATGACATTGCTAAGTGCTCCCTGGATCACGTGGCCCGTTTTTAAGACTACACGAGCGATTAATTAGGCTTATATGTCAGCATTAATTGCAACAGGCATTAGACAGCAGACAGTCCATTCACCAGCCATGCAGAGTGTTTATGGGAGCTGCACAACAAGCAGTGTGAGCTGACATCTGGGGAAAAAGCCAAAGATCTAATAAAACTTATTAGCAGCTAAAAGCCAAATCTCAGCAATGTATTAACTCAAAAGGTCACAGAGGCACATGCTCCCAGCAGCTAAACCAATATATATTTATAGCTTATAATATATGATAAAAATAAACCATTAATAAAGCTAAATTCTGGTGAGAGTTTCAGTTCATACTAGAAATTGTAAGAATGAATCTTAAATCAAGATGTTCAATCCTTGCAGTACTTAAAGTTGCTGTATTAATAAAATATATAAGCTACAGCTTTAGTCTGTGTTG